CACCTCCTCCAACAAAGCCACACCTCCTCCAACAAAGCCACACCTCCAATCCCTTCTTCAAACAACTCAACCAACTGGGGATCAAATATGCAGATACAGGAGCCTACGAGGGTCATTCTTAGTCAAACTACCACAACACCCCTTTTAGTTTTAGACTTCCTTGAGTTCCTTTCCTATTTCAATAGTATTGGGGGAAGGAGGAAGGAGGTCTTGAGACTGTCATCCACAAGAGAGAAAATGCCGAAAAGAGTTTCTCTGAGACCTTAGGATACAAATGAAAATAATCAAATCCTCAGGAAGTGTTATAACTATGTCCCAATGGTCTCTCCTTAGGATAGCCAAGTGAGCAGAGAGTGTGATGACCTCATTAGCTCCATGAACATGATTCCTCCAGGACTTTGTATAAAGAGTAACACTTCCAGAAGAAAAGACTGGCCACCAACCTCCAGACCATCCCCGGTGGCAGCTACTCCAAGTGACTCTGGCCTTGTCTCTAATATGCCATGTTAATGTCCACATTGCTGCCCTTTGAATGCACAGCATGTTCTCTTCCTTTCTGCTCTACAGGATCTGACATAATCTGGGCTTCATTTGCTTTGGTTCATTCATTCAACAAAAAAAAAAAAAAAAAAAAAAGACTCCCTTGAACAACATTGGACACAAGGCAATGACATCCCTGTCATCCAGATGTTCATGTTCTGGTGAAACTGTTAGACAAAATATAAGGAGATATGCAAATGGAATTCCCAAGTTCTTCTTGCAAGAATGCAAACAGTCACAAGACACTGGACCAAATTGTGAAATCACCCATGTGCGCCAGTGTAGTCAACTGACTGATTTGCTCTACAGAAACAACCAGAGCTACATAGAAAAATTGCTGCCTCATGATGTATAACTCAGTAGTGTTTGCCTAAGACATAGAAACCCTTGGCTTGATTCTACACCACCATAGAGAGAAGCACGATGATGCATGCATATAATTTTAGCACCCCAGGAGTCTAGGCAGGAAGAACAGAAGTTCAAGGCCATCCTCCATAGCATAGTCAAGTTGAGGCTAGGGTGGGCTACATAAGATTCTGCCCCAAAAAAGAAAATTAAAAAAAGATACTTGTACAGTTTGTGGAACATGGCTTTGATTCTGGCCCTTTGGAGACTGAAGCAAGATCATAGAGATCTAGCCACAGACTTGACTCCAGATGTCTTCCTCGCCAATTTTCCAATCCAGATGTTTTTCTCACCCAATGCACTCCTTCCAAGTCCCTGACTAGCCAGCCAGTCCATTGGCTACAGCCCATAAATCTCGGCCATTTCTTCTTCCTAACAAAATGTATGACCTTGTGTACAGCCTGGTGTTCTGCACACTGAAGATTTCACTTTGCCAATCTCTTTCAGGGCTGTTGCAGGAAGGGGTTGTAATGCTGCAGCTGTCCACTTCTGGGTGGTACCTGCCTAATATGCAGAACCACCACTAAATCAGGCCCTAGTCTTCTCCTTTCCTTAGTCAATTAATCATAGGCTGTAATGCAGACAGCATTGTAACAGGAATAGGCATTTGGACAACTTCTTCACGTGATTTGCTTGTGCCCTCAGGATCTTCTTGGACCCTATCATGTATATACCAATCCCATTTGATAATAGACTGCTGCTGTGCATTCCTACTCACCATGAAAAGTTCAGCACAAAGTAGCTGCTACTGCCTACTTACTTGGTAAGCAGCATAGTGCAAACCACTGTGATATTTTGTGTAAGAGACAGATGATAAAGATCCCTTCAAATCGATGGGCCTGGGGGCACATACCTGTAATCGCAGCATTCAAGGAGGCAGAGACTGGCAGATCTCTACGAGTTTGAAGCCATCTGGTCTGCAAAGAAAGTCCAGGACAGCCAAGGCTACACAGAGAACCCTGTCTTGAAAAACTGAAAAAACACAATGCCTTCAAATGAAGTTATGACACAGAGCTGGAGAGTTTAATATACCCTTGAAGGAAAACTGTAAATGTATACTGCTAGCCTTGCCAAGTGAAAGCAAATTGCTTCTGGTGATTCTTATGGACAGGTACCAAGAAAAAGGCGTTTGCTAGATCAATAGCTGCATTTCATGTACCAGAAGATGTGTTAATCTGATCAAGTAAGGACACCACACCTGCGGCAGCACCTGCAATCAGAGTCACTAATTGAATAAATTTGCAATCCTTAACTGTCATTCTCCAGGATCCTTCCGTCTTCCACATTGAGCAGCTAGGAGAGTGAAAGGGAGATGTGCTAGGAACCAACAACTCTGCATCTTTCAAGTCCTTGACAGTGGCACTGATTTCTACAGTTCCTCCTGGAATATGATATTATCTTTTGCAGAGTATTTGATCACACTATAAACCTCAAGACTGTGATATTTACTGGAAAAAAAATGTTTCTAATTGTGGTGTTACTCATCCCTAGGACACACCTTTAATCCAAGAGCTTTCTGTTCAAATATTGTAAACAAGGTTAAATAAACTCAACCATAGGTCAAGAGGCAGAGCAAGCAACCAGTTGATGGGAAGTGAACATAGGATTATTAAGAAGGAAAAAAAAATTACATTAATCTCAGCACTCAGGGAGGCAAAGGCAGCCAGATCTCTGTGAGTTTGAAGCCAGGCTGATCTACAAAGAGAGTCCAGTTCAGCCAAGGCCTTGTTTTGAAAAATAAAGAGAAAAAAAAAACATAAGAGTAAGAGGAAGTCGGGAGGATGGAGAGAGATACACAGGAAGTTTAAGGGAAGGACATTCAGTTTGAAGGATTGTTTGAGAAAGCATAGGCGAAGGAGAGATTCTTTCTGAGACATCAGCTGAGGAGGAAGGCCAGTTGAGTGCTTTCTCTACTTCTCTGAGCTAGCAGGCTTTCACCCCAGCATCTGGCTCCCGAGTCTTTATTGATAAAATTGAACAATTGAGATTTTGTTAAAAACAACAGTGTTCCCTGGTAGAAGCAACTCCGATGGCTTCCATTTGGCCTTTCCAAACACAATAACCCTCACTCCACACATCAGAGAACTAATGTGGGAATCTTCCAATTTCTAAGAATGTCTATTCCAATTATACATTCTGTAACTGGCAAAATAACTACAGGATGAGTTCACAGGCTTCAGTCAAAACTCCACTAACTAAGCCAAGCATATTGGCACACGCCTGTGATCCTAGCATTCTGGGAGGCAGAGGCAAGCAGATCGCTGTGAGTTTGAGCCCAACATGGTCTACAAAGTGAGTTCACACACAAGACTACACAGAAAAGCCTTGTTTCAAAAAAACAAAACAAACAAACAAAAATTCCACTAATTAATCAAATAGCGTCAAATGCCTAGCACTCACAGGGTTAGGTTAAAACACTATTGATCATCACTGCATCCCACTTTCCAAGTCAACACAAGCACCCAAAGCATCTGATGGAGCCATTCAACCACTCGAAAGGCAGCAAGGAGAGACACTCACAAATAGAACAGTAAGGGTCCATGCGTACCAACAGCAAAGTACAGTCAAGAGCTGTGTGAGTAACGAAAGATCACAAATCTCAGTGTTTAAGAACATTCACTATTTTGTATTAGGCTGCACTCAAGCTGCCCTAGGCTGTCTGGGGCATATGGATGCTGGCTGAACACCCCAGTGTAGTCTATGTAAGGTCCTACAGACTTCATGTAATCTCCGCTACATGTTTGTGAGGATGACTTGTTTAAACATGAGCAAGTGACTAGTGAGTGTGTCTCTAGGGTCCAGACAAGAGACTAGGAGCCATTCAGAATTGGTGCCTTAAGGAGAATCTACAAAGGGCCTATATACAGGGTAACCAGCCATACTGCTGCAGGCCTATAATTCTACGAATCTGGTGGTGAAGCAGGAGGATCAGGGGTTCAAGACCATCCTGTGATCCATAGTGTTGGCCTTCCTGCCTGGGTGGAAAGGTATCCTGGGACTTGGGAGCCCAGGAAGCACACAGCTCTGAGATGGGAAGGTATCCCAATGGAAGGGCATCCTGAGACAAGGCAGCCCAGGAACCACACAGCTCTGAGAGGAAGCCTTGTCCGCAGAGGCACTGCAGCTCCCAGGGAGGGTATCCCCAGCTGAACTGAGGCACTCAGCAGCCTCAGCCCCTCTCCACTTCTTTGCTTCTTCCCTTCTCTTCATTGCTTCATGGCTTCTTCCAATACCAGGCAGCTTGAGTCAGCATGAATAGCCAACAGAGACTGAAGAGGAGATGCTGCCAACATGGACAGCTCACAGGCATGGGGTGGGCTTTGAGGTCATACATCCTCAAGCTATTCCCGGTGTGGTGCACAGTCTCTTTCTACTGCATTTGGAAGATGTAGAAATCTCAGCTCTAGCACCATGTCTGCCTGTGTGCCACAATGCTCCCTGCCATAACAATAGTGGATTAAGCCTCTCAAAGTAAATACTTTCTTTCTCAAGACTTGTCATGGTCATAGTGGTTTTTTCACAGTAATAGAACACTGACTAAGACAAGTGGCATATTTTCTCCAGCAAGGCTACGCCCCCTAAACATTCCCAAACAATGCCACCAACTAGGGAACAAGTGTTTAAATACCTGACTCCATGGGCAACTTTTCATATTCAAAGTATCACACTCTATTTCCTATCACTAGGCAGAACAATAGGAAGCCAGAGGAAAGAAAATCCTCAGATACTGGGCATGAGGGTGAGCCAGAGCAGGGAAGAAAATTATCCTGGTCCATTTAGGTGGACAGAAGAGAGTACCTGGGCTTGGCTTGGGGAACCTGGAACCTGCTTCATCTTTTTTTGTTCAATTGCTTATCTTCTCCTTTGGTCAGACTACAGTCAAAACTGATTGGGTTTTTTGTTGTTGTTGTTGTTGCTTTGTTTTGTTTTGTTCAGAAAAATATTGTCACTAACCATGATGACTTGATTATTGAAATAACATTGTTGGTATAATATCCTTGTGGACTGTGTATAGTTTACCCTTGTTTGTCCAAATACTGATTTCTCTACCCCACTATCTAGTTTCAATCAGACAATTCATTGTGATGTTTATGCTAAGCATCTCTTGTCTCAAGTTTATGTAAACATGCTGCCATTTGTTCTCTGTATTGTCAATAAAAGCCAACCAATCAATGCTAAGCAGTACAGAGAATAGGGTGGGACATCCTGGTCCGGTGAGGGGAGGAGAAAGGACAGGAAGTACAGGATGGATGCTTGATAAGAAGACCAGGAAACATCAGGAAAAATGAACCAGAGCTAGGACATGATTTAAAAGGAAGTATAATGTAGGAAACCTGAATGGGAGGAAGCTATAGTAGCTTGGAGGTTTAGGATAGAGCATTGTGCAGAATTGTGCTCTAGGCTAATTAAATAAATTCTAGTCCCTCTGTGTGGTTATTTGTGTATATAAAGGATTAGATAATATTGCTCTAATAATTATAGGGCTAATAATAAACATTATTAGCACGTACTTCTAAATTTACCACAACATGACATGGTTTCCATGCCTTAAAATAATGCTGTTT